AGCTGTTCATCCTTCCTCGATACCGACAAATACTCCATCGGACTTGAGTGCTCTACATCCTGATATTCAATTCATTCTCCAGATTGCGCTGAGACCTATGACTCGTCGCTCATATGCAGCTAAATGGAAACGTGTCACATCTTTTGCCAAAACCAACCACTTTATTGCTCATTCAACTTCTATTAAAAATGTTCTTCAATTTCTTTTATCCTTACGCCACACTGCACTCAAACCTTCATCCATTAAAGTTTACATCGCCGCAATCTCTCACTACCATGGCCAGGTGGCCGGCTCGTCAGTATTCTCTAATGTCCTTATTCATTGATACTTTAGAGGCTTACAGAATCTCCAGCCACTGGTTAGAAACATAGAAACAGAGCAAGTCAGAAGGGGCCTCCTGGGCCAGCTAGTCTGACCTCCGGCACAAGCCGGCTCCACTCACAACATGCCCACCATGTGCATGTTCAGCCTATCTTTGAATACCCTTGACCTCTTGTGGAAGCCCATTCCACACCTTTGGGGTCCTAACTGTCAGGAAGTGCTTCCTGGCATCTAAATGGAACCTTGGTTTCCTGAGCTTTGTTCCATTGGAGCACGTCCTGCCTTCCTCCGCAGGGGAGAAAAGGTCTCTACCCATCTCCATGTGACATCCCCTCACATATCTGTATGTCGCCAACATATCCCCTCTGAGTCTCCTCCAGGCTGAAGAGACCCATTTCCCTCAGTCTTGCCTCATATCCCATCCCCTGCAAACCGGCCACCAACCTTGTGGCCCTACGCTGCACTGACTCTAACCTGGCTATATCCTTTCTGTAATGAGGAGCCCAAAACTGAGCACAATACTCCACTTGAGAGCGCACCAGAGTCATATAGAGTAGTAGTAATACCTCTCTTGATCTGGAAGCCACACTTCTGGCTATGCAACCAAGGGTGGCTTTCGCCCTCTTGGCCACTGCATCACACTGCTGACTCATGTTTGGCCTGCAGTAAACCAGTACCCCGAGGTCCCTTTCACAAGTGCTGCTCTCCAGCCACCTGTCACCTAACCTGTACTTATGACAGCTATTCCTATGCCCCAAGTGTAAGAGGTTGTAAGCCGCCCCGAGGCTTCGGCGAATGGGGCGGCATAAAAATGTTTTAATAAATAAATAAATAAATAAATAAATAAATAAGACCTTGCACTTATGCACATTGAACGCCATCCTGTTGTCTCCTGCCCACTTCCATAGTCAGTCCAGATCCTTTTGGATCTGCAGGACCTGCTCCTGAGTTGTGGCCACTGCTCCAGTTTTAGTGTTGTCTGCGAATTTGATCAGGAGACTGTTCACCCCTTCTTCCATGTCGTTAATGAAAAGATTAAACAGAATTGGCCCCAGGACAGAGCCCTGGGGCACCCCACTTGTCAATGGCCGCCATCCCGATGATTCCCCGCTAATGGTTACCTTCTGCTTTCGGTCAGTCAACCATGCCCTAATCCACCGGCCAGTGCTTTGGTGTATCCCAAAACTCCTCAGTTTCTCCACCAGGATATCATGGGGCACTTTGTCAAAGGCCTTGCTGAAATCCAGGTATACCACATCCACTGCATCCCCTCCATCTAGCCATCGCAAAACCTTGTCATAGAATTCCACAAGGTTTGTCTGGCAGGTCCTGTTTTTGCAGAAGCCGTGTTGCATGGCTGTCAGCTTCCCTTCCCTATCTAGCATCACTAGATCTCTCTCTATTATGAGCCTTTCCATTGTTTTTCCTACAATGGATGTAAGGCTAACAGGTCTATAATTCCCCATGTCACTTCTACTACCCTTTTTGAAAATTGGGACCACTGATGCCACCCTCCAGTCCTCTGGAACTTCACCCATTCTCCACGAGGTCTCAAAAATGGAGGCCAGCGGGCATGAGAGAACCCCTGCCAACTCTCTAAGTACTCTCGGGTGTAACCGGTTAGGGCCTGGCACCTTTGTAATGTGCAATGCCGAGGAGACCCTCGACTTCAAGGGGGGTGACTCTAATCTGTGCCCCTAAGTCCCTGGCCTCATCTAATCTCCTATGCAGATATCCCCCGTACTGCTTTGGGGAGAACACAGAGGCAAAATAGACATTTAGCATCTGTGCCTGTTCCCTCATACGAGTCACTGGATCGCCTTCTTCCTTATTTAGTGGTCCCATCACTTGTCTCCCCTTCCTCTTCCTATTTACATGCTGAAAGAAGCCCTTTTTGTTGCTCTTGATATTCCTGGCAAATCTCAGCTCGTAATCAGCCTTAGCCTTGCGAAGAATCCTTCTGCACTGGGCCTCCTCCTCCCGGTATACCCTTTTATTTGCCCCAGTACCCATTTCCTACGGAGGTTTCTCTTTCATCTAATCCCTCTAGCCACCTTCTTTTGCATCCATGGCGGCACTCTCCTCCCCCTCCCCACCTTACTGACTAGAGGTATCGTCAAGGCTTGCGCCTCCAAAACCTCCCTTTTGAGTGCTATCCACCCTTCCTCAACTCATTTACCTTCCAGTAACCTATCCCAGGAGACTTTCCCCAGTCTGGCCTTCAGTTGGCCAAAGTTGGCCCTCTTGAAGTCCCAGCTTCTAGTGTTTGACCTGCTGCACATCCCCAGTCCCCTGATCTCAAAGCAAAGGATGGAGTGATCACTCGCATCCAGAGCTCCCCTATGGTGACATACGAGGTGTGACACAAAAATAACTGGATTAGTAATAAAAAATATGTGTTGATGAATTACAGCATTCTGAACATTGTCACCTTCTATATCATGGGTCCTCAAACTAAGGCCCGCGGGCCGGATCCAGCCCACCATGCCCATTTAACTGGCCTGCCTCACAGGTTTTGCACTTGCTGGCGCACGGCTTCCTTGCAAGGAGGTCGTTTTGGACTAGCTCAGAGAAAACGATCGCCTTATGAACATGCCGGCACCTCGCCGTGTGCTCCTGATGGCAGCTTGCTCGTAGGGAGGTTGTTTTGGACTCGATTGAAGAAAATGATCTCATGAGCAAGCTGGCACCTTGCTGTGCACACAGTGAGGCGGTGGCGTGCTCACGAGGTCATTTTGGACTTGATCTCCTCGTGAGCAAGCCAGCGCCTCGCCTGTGCGCCCCCCCATCCCCACTTCACTTTGCCTGTGTGCGCCCGCCCGCGCCCCCAGCCCCCTGACCGGCCCATGCCCCCCTACCAGCACCGCCTTGGTGGCCCGCACCCACCACTGGCACCTGTCAACTGGCCCCCTTTAGGACCCCTGATTTAAACCATGGTCCTCAAACTACGGCCCAGGGGCTGGATCCGGCCTGCCATGGCCATTTATCCGGTCCACCTCAGAGGTTTTCAGTGCAGCCCATGCACCACCTTTCCAGCCCACACCCAGCACTGGCACCTTTCAACTGGTGTCCCTGATGAAAAAGTTTGAGAACCCCTGATTTAAACAGTCTTGCTGCACTATTCAGCACTATATCTTGCCTTTACCTATTCCCCACATGCATGTGTGCATGTATGCACGCACGCATGCACACACAACTCTTTGTTTTGCCTTGCTGTATTATAGGGACAGTCCTGTTTCTAGTTCAGGTTGTATGAGGAAATATATTCAGCCACACAAAACAGGACATGGTTTGCATGGAATGACGACTTGCAGGTTTAAAAATGAATGGGTTGTTGTATGACAGCAGAAAACAGTGTTCTGTCTTGCTCATGCAGGACAACCCACCTGTTTCTAAATGGATTGGTTGCTAAGTAGGGACAGCTCCAATGGTTCAGGAACTTGGCCAAATCAAGAAGTGGAAAAGGAATGAAGGGAAAATACAGCTAAACTGTAGGGGCAGGTTAAAGAGAGTCCAAGGGGTGGGAAAAACGCTACAACTTGTGCATTCCTAGATAGTGACCAAATGCCCAAACTGTCTCTCTCTTGAAATGCTTTAGTTCCAGCATTCTTGAGTGGACCTGTTCACACATGCAGGGCATCTTTTGATGTTGCACCCATCCTCATAATTAAATCGCATGTGTGTATGCCCAGACCCTCATCTCTGGGGGACGTTGCTTCCAGAAAGAAAGGTGTAAAGAAGGGTGTGCAGTGGGGAGAGGGGCAGATGTTTCAGAGGTACCACGTGGCTCCAGTGGCCCTGGGATACTCTTTGGCACTATAAGAGCCACAGGAGCAGCACTTTCATCTCCCTCAAGCTGCTTAGCGGCATTGTCATGATCATCACCATCATCTTAACCCGTTCTTTATATTTGGATGACTTTCTAAGAGTATCCATGGAGCGGGAGAGGCTCTTGCTCCGGCTTTATCGCTTCCCTTCCTTAGCACTTTCCAAGTTCTCACGTTGCTGCTGCTGCTGCCGTGGTTGCCGGAGAGTTTGCACTTCTCTCCATCACGCCGTTGTTCTTCTCTGGTCCGCCGCTGCCTCCCGAGCGCGCATGCTCCATTTGAGGAGCCTTACCCTTCTCTCTCTCGCGCGCTCTCTCTCCTTTTCCTCCCTCTCTCCTCCTCCCCCACTCCCGCCCTTGCTCCATCCGGGGAACTTCGAATTAGCATTGACAGCCGTGGCACAACTTTTCCCGAGGCAAAGTGAAATCAAGGCGCGCACTCTGAGAAAATATAGTCCCTCCCGTTTTTAAGTCTTCTTGGTCCCCATTGGAGGGGGGACTGAGCAGTTCGAGGCGATTAATCGGGTCCTGGGCGGAGCAGGGGACCGCCTAGGAGCCCATGGGGATTATTGGCTAGGGGGCGGTGGGGGGGAGCCTTCCCCCCTAGTTTGGCGGAAAGTGAGTGATTTGTCTGTGTCCCTAGCAAAGAGGCAAAGAACTTGCTTTGCAGCCTGAGTAGTTGTTTCTTTCGATTGTTGTTTTTGCTTTTTAAAACATTTTTTTTTTTTTTGCGGGAGGGGTTGTTGTTCTGATTTGTTAGAATTTTCGGTTGTTGTAGTTGCAAAGAAAAAAAAATTCACCAAACTTCACTGGGATTCGAAAGTGGGAGAAAAGTGTCTAGCAAGTTGAAAGGATGGAGCTGCACAGCTTGCAAGAGGCGTTAAAAGTGGAAATCCAATGTCATCAGGTAAAGAGAGAGAGAGAGAGAGAGAGAGAGAGAGAGACCGAGCGAAAAATACTCTTACATCCCTGGCGAAAGCGCGAGAAAGAGAATCCAAAGAATCTTAACACTGCCTGCTTACCAAGTAGCTTTGGGTTCTTGTCGCAGGGTCTATCGATCGGGAGGTGGGGGGAAAGGAAAGAGAGTCAAAGGGGAGCTTGGTGTAACAGTGGCGGGGAGCCTCCCTTCTCTCCTCTAGAATCTTACTTACGGTGTGGAGTACTTTGCAAAAGTAGTTTTAGAGATTGTTTGGCTGAGTTTTGACGTGTGTGTCTGTGTTGTTTAGATCCGGAGTTAACATTGCGGTTGATGCTTGTGTGAGTGTGTATATATGTATGCGCGCGCGCGCGCGCGCGTGTGTGTGTTGGAGAGATTAGGACGAGACTTGAATATTTATGAGCTTTGCTTGAAACTGACTCGCTGTGTTTACTTGCCTCTTTGTTCCATACCCCTCCCTCCCCCTTCTACACACACACACGCACACACACACACGGACGCACATTTTTCAAAAATCCATTACACGTGAACACTTTCTAATGCCTTCTTTTTCGGGGTGATTTTGTTTTTAGAAACTAGTTGCACAGATGAAGCAAGATCCACAGGTAAATGCAGATCTCTGGTTTTGTTTTGTTTTTTAATAAATAAACCCCCAGCTTCTTCAGTATTTTAGCTCTGCTGTAATAAGTGCAGTTCTGCTGGGACAGCACGATGCGAAACTTTATCAGTAAGAGATCTCATTTTGCGGACCGGGCTGAGCTTTGTTACTTAAAGGGGTTATATATAGATATACACATATATATATATATATATCTTTTCTTATTGTGCATGCTTCTCGTTGGGGGTTTCCCCTCTGAACCATTCCTAGGCGCAAGTTTACTCTTAACTGGCTTCAGTTTACACTTGGTTTTAATCTGCATTTTATTGCCATTTTTACAGAACGGTGATCTTAAGAAACAAATCCATGAGAGGCAATCGAGAATAGCAGCTCTTAATGAAAAACAAGTAAGAATGAATCGATTTAGTTATGTGTCTGTGGGTTCTTTTCTTTCTTCCGTTTTTACAATGCACTTTCTCAACATTCTGAAAGAGTCTGCGCACCCTGGAAAATACCGACATGTTAATAAAATACTCATGTTTACTTAAGATAGCCTAAAGTGAGAAAAGGGTTTAAAGAAGAGGGATCCAGCACTCATCTGCCTTATCTGAAAATGTGTTTATTATATTGATAATCATACTACACAAAAAGGAGATAAGCAGTAGTTAGAACGGATTTTTTTAACTCTCTCTCTCTCTCTCTCTCTCTCTCTCTCTCTCTCTCTCTCACACACACACACACTGAGGCGTCCATTTTGAGTTGGTCGACATGTTTTAGGAATATAGGAAATTCTTTAGTCTTGTGCTAGTTTGTTTTCACTTCCTTGCAACGTGGAATAGCAAAGAGTTGGAATTAAGGGGACTGAGACGCTCCCACGTTGGAATCTTCTGTATCTAGTTTCGGTTGGAAAACTGATTTGTTTTCATGTAGATGTATAGTTCCCCCCATCCCCCTTCTTGGCGTTTTCTCTTTCTTTAGCTTGATCTGACATGCTAGCTTTGGAGACGAGTTTATGTAGGTACTTTTACGCGCACACAGACACATATACCCCTCCCCCTGCATGGCTCTGTCTAGTTAGGTAAATCTGAGGATAAAAAGTGAAGCGATACAAAAAAAGATCCCTTCTCTTTCCCTCCTCCCCCGCACTCTTCATGCAAACTTTCTTTTTGTGTGTGCGTATGTGTCCTCTGTGGAAGCACGTCTCTATGAGTGACCGTGGTGTGCACGGGCTGGAATTATTCGTACCATCTTCACCCCCATCTCCTCGGCTACCTACCCCGCCGCGCACACACACGCACGCTCCCTTTACAAGCCGAAAGAAAAGTTGCCTTGCATTGTTGAGTTTGTGTTGTTGGGATCAGCTGATGGCGAGGGGCTGAATTTGTTAGGTTTCAGCACCACGAACAGATGCCATGGAACGCTCAGCAGCTCCGCGTGCATCTCTGGAGCTTTAAAACGACACACACACACCAGCCCCTTTGCTTCCCTTCCCCCTCCACCCCTTCCACTTTCAGTACTTGCAATGCACAATCGCGCAGCAGCAGCAGCTTAGAGAGCGAGTCTGTGATCTGCCGGATTGTTCCTTCTCCCTCCCCCCTCCCCCAATATAAAAGCGAACTTTCACCACGGCTCCCCTCCTCCCAGCCCTCTGTGCTCCTCCTTCCCCTCCTCCTTGCTTGCTCATGCAGCTTTCCAAAAGCCCCTTTGGCAGAGAGATCGAGCCCCCCCCCCCCCCGCCTGCTTTCCCTTTCCTCCGGCTGAATCGATCGCGATTCCTTCGGAATGCAGCAGTCCTTTCAGCACCAAAACTTGGAACAGCGCCCTTGATCATGTTTTCCCCCCGCGCCTCTGAGTGTAGAAAAAGCCACGACAATCTTTTCAGCCTATCCAGGAGCTTTCCCGATATGTTCGCGTTCGAAGGGATGCGGGGGACCGGGGTGGGAGGCGAAAGAGGAAAGGAGCAATTGCCCTCCCCTTGTGTACTCGTTGAAGTTGAAAAGTAAGCCATGCATATTTTGAGTCGTTGCCCATAGAATGAACGCCCGAGACGGCGTTGATTATATAGATAAGCGTTTCCACGGTCCTCTCCCTCCCCCCTTCCTCCCTCCCCATCCCGATTGATCGTAACCAGAATTTGACAGCGCTCTCAGTTTGGTAGTGGAAGCTTCCATTTTGTGAGGAAGGGGTGTTGGATTCTTCCTAACATGGAGAAAAGTCTGCAGAGTTTGACGGTGGGGGATGGGGCCCCATTCATGCTTAACATTACCATTTTGATTGCTTTGATGCCATTTTTGAATGTAAGGGGGTGGGAGGGAAGAGAATACTATACTCAGCAGAGCACAAAGATTCTTAATCACTGTATAGAATCAAAGCAGATAGTTTCTTTTCTTTACATAGAAGGCTGTACACGATCACTTAGAGCAGTTAGCCCTTTTTCCTTGCAGGGTGAAACAGCATGTTATATTGATTCTGCTACTACATCTAGTAGAGGATTTATTTAAAACAAGGTAATAGCCATACACTACTGGCAATACATCCTTATGTTTTCCTGTCTTTGATGTGGAAATAGTTCCACTGCATTAAAGTGGGCATTCAGGATGTATATATGATGGCTCCTTGCAACAGCAACTATTTCAAGACCATTTAAATTTTTATGATGATAGTCAATGAGAAGCTATTTATTATGTCTTGTGCTGGAATTTAGATGAGGCAAAGAAGCACACATTGAAAATTGAGTTGGATGCAGCTACTGGGTGCAGAATGGCATTTCCGATCTCATGCAGTGCTTTCTGAACTAAATAGTAAACAATGATTCTGTTTTAGTCACATTAAAAGAAAGCCTTGAGTTAAAAATTATGTAACACATGGCAACTAGTCCTTGGATTCACTGTTCCTTGTATTGAAAAAGTGTGTGCTGTTCTGCCTCTTTTATGGAACAAGAGCTTATACAATGGTAAAGGGGTGAATGCTGATGATGCAGTGCCTTGGTGTACTGCACTCAGTCACCACTGGGGGCCAGACTGAAAATCACATGGACAAGTGCCATGAGTTTTAAAGCCTCAGCTGGACATATCACAAAGTTACTTGAAGTTGGCTTTTGGAACACTTAACATTTTCCCTTTTCAAGGAAAATATACAAAGGAATCTTTCCATATCATATGGAAGAGTATGAGTGTGATACTGATGGAGTTTTTGAATGATTATAATCTCTTTATGTCAGTGGAAGTTAATGCTCATTGGACTCTGATCAGGTTCTGTATTCTATAACTGAGTAACACATGAGAACAAAGATGAGTAAGCCAATCCTGGAATGCTAGAAGATGGCTTGTGAAAGAAATAAACCCTACAAAGTAGGAGTACTAACACTAGTTCCAAGTAGCATGTGTTCTAAAGTTTCATCTACAACCTTCACATACTGGTTTTTTTGTTTTTGTTTTGTTTTTTGTTTTACTAATGTGCAATTCAATAATACATACCTGTGCCTGGCTGCAAAAATCATGTAGAAATTCTGGCTGTAATTTACAATCCTTATACTCTGGAAAAGTCCCATTAACTTTAACAGGACTAATTCTGAGTCAGTGGAGTGGTGGACTACCCAACGCAGAAACCCTCTGTTTGATTATGTGCATGTATATTTTAAAACAAAAGAAAAAATAAAGTAGTAACCACACACATCAGCCACAGTTTGGAAAAGGATTTGGCACACTTATAGCCACTGGTCTGGAGCCAGTCTAAGTTAGCTGCAGTTAGTTGGGAATGTAAGAAGTCTGTAGGCCTTTTAGCTTAGCATCTCATTTTCCAAAGTGGCCAACTAGATGTCCATGCAATCTCCTCAGGGATGACATGAGCACAATCACTCTCTCGTGCCATTACTCCCAGTCACTGTTATTGGGAGGCATTCTGCCTCTGTACCTTGTGACAGCTTCTGCCATTGGACAATATAGCAGTGTAATCAACCAAGTATAGCTATTATCACTGTTACCCACAGATAAAGTTATTCTTCATGGCTCTGTGAAAATCATTTAAAGCTACCTGCATTGATGGACATTACCACTTCTGCCTGTCCTAAATCTCCTATTGTTCCACTTCACTGAGTGATCCTGTCTTCTACTATTATGAGAGAAGGAGAAGAACATATCCCTATCCACTTTATCCACACTGTGCATAATTGTATGCACCTCTAAAATGTTTCCATTTACCTTTTCTTTTCCTGCCAAAATTAAAAAGCCCCAAACATTATAACCTTTTGTCTTAGGGGAACTGCTACAGCCTCCTGATGAATGTGGTTCCCTTTTTGAAACTCCAAGTACACAAGCTTGACTGGATTTCTCATATCCATTTGAAGAATTCTGAGAACTAACTTTGAGAACTAACAAGAACATAAGAAGAAACATGCTGGATCAGACTGGGGGCCTATCTAGTCCATCATTCTGTTCCCATAGTGACCAACTTGTGGCCCATGGGAAACCCAGAAGCAGAACATGAGTGCCGCAATAGCCTTCCTCCTCTGCTGCCCAGAAACTGGTCCACTACGCATATTCCATCTGACGCTGGAGGTAGTATATAGCTGTCAGAACTATTAGCCACTGAAAAACTTATTCTTCATGAATTTGTCCTATCATCTATTAAGCCATCAAATTGGTGGCTGTCACTGCATCTTATGGAAGTGAATTTCGTAGTTCAACTATGTGCTCTTTGAAGTACTGAATCTGTCATGAATTTCCCATCAAACAGCTTTATGGGCTGACCCCAGTTTCTAGTGTTATGAGAGAGGGAAAATGTCTTCCTCTCCAGTTTCTCCACACCATGTGTGATTTTGTACAGTTCTATCATGTCTACCTTTTTTTCCTTTTCTCTAAGCTAAATAGTCTTGGATGTTGTAACCATGCCTCAAAGGGGAGTTGCGCCAACCCCTTGATCATTTTAGTTGCCCTTTTTGGGCCTTAACTCTACAATATCCAATTTAAATGCAGTGGCCAGAACAGTATGGAGTGTTCTAAGTGGCTGTACCATTGGTTTGTATAAGGGCAGTATGATTTCAGCAATTTTATCTTAAATTCCTTTTCTCATTCCTTTCCAACATGGACAGCTGCCACACACTGAATTGACATTTGCATTGAGCTGTCCAGCACAAACCCCAGAATTCTGCCTAGGTCAGTCATTGTTATCTCAGATCCCATTAGCTTATACATGAAGTTGGGATTTTTTGCCCAAGTGCCCATCACTATATACTTGCTTACATTCAGTTGAATTTGCCCTTTTGATGTCCACTCTTCCGATTTGGAGAAAGCCTTTTGGCGCTCCTCTTAATCAGCAAATTTGGCCACTTTAATGCTTGCTCCTGATTCCATATATTCCTATTCTCTGCTTTCTGTCCTTTAAGCATAAGGAACTTATCCCATGACTG